TCTGTAGCTTTGGAGGCTGTCCTGGAACTCACTTTGTAGACCAGGCTGGCCTCGAACTCACAGAGATCCACCTGCCTCTGCCTCCCGAGTGCTGGGATTAAAGGCGTGCGCCACCAACGCCTGGCTAAAAGAGTAGGTTAATAGCATTTAGTGTGTCCCTGCTGATGTAATGAGTAAATCAAATACTCCATCCATAAATTTGTGCTGTTTAGATTTATTTGTGTATGTAGGTCGCTCTCTTCTTCGACCATCTGGATTCCAGAGATCAAACTCAGGTTGTCAGGCTTGGTGGCAAGTGACTTTATCCCCTGAGCTATCTCTCCAGCTCCCTGTATATATGTTTTAAGTAATGACTATCTCTTAACGCATTAAAAGTTACTGTGTTAGTTGCTTGGGCTGACCTTGAAAAGCATGACTTAGATGTGAGAAAGTTAGGCTCTTAATGTTCTGGAAGCTGGGAAGTTCAAAATCAACGTATGAGCTAGTTCAGTCTGGAGGTTAGGGTTCTCTTCATGGTTTGCAGATGGCGCTTTTTGGCTGAATTCTCACATGGTAGGGAGAGGGAAGAGAACTACTCTGTCTCACCTCTGTTCTTTCTTTTTTATGGTGGTACTTTTATATCTTACTTTTTAAAAAAATTTTGTATTTTAATTTTAAATAGCTTGTTTTGCATGTCAATCCCAGTTCCCTCTCCCTCCCCTCCTCCCACACTCCCCATCCCCCCCCAGCCTCCCACCCTATTGCCAATTCCTTCCACATAGGGGATATCTAGAGTCTGTCATTTCACTCTGGGTAGGGTCCAGGCACTCCCCTAAGAGTCCAGGCTGAGAGAGCATCCCTCTTTGTGCTACGGGCACACGATGACTGTTTGTATTCCACTCACCTCTGTTCTTACAGGGTTACTAACGCTATCATGGGCACTCCACCTTTATGACTTCATCCAAACCTAAATGCTTTTCAAAGCCGTATCTCAAAAAATATTACAAAAGGGATTAGGATTTCAACACACGAGATCTGCAAGAGACCCAGACATTAATTGGTTAGTCCATCACAGTCCTTCAGAAATCCAAGGTTGTAGAGAATGCTTTACATTTGAACTGATTGTTGTTTTAAAAATTAACACAAAGGGTTTTTTTTTTTTTTTTAAAAAGTACTTGGAATAGCCATTCAGATTTAAAGACAGTGTAGTCCGCTTTCAAGAGCCTTAAATTACTCACTGGAATGAATGGATGGATCCAGAGTAACCAAACTTGGAGAGACCTGTTAGGCCATCATGTTATATCATTATGACTCATGCTACGGTTGTCATTTTTCTCCTTTAATGGGTTCTGTGGGAATGGCAACCCTCCCAGCTTCCTAAGCAAGTGCTGGGGAAAGCACACTATAATGGGGACTTGTTAAAGTGTGAATTGCACAACAACACTCTTGAAATGAAGAAAAGGTAATTGTCAAAGAATGGTATGACGAAACCAGCATCATCTCAGAACATCACACTACCAGTTCTTTTTACCCTTGCAGGAGCATCTTATGATATTATAGTCATGAGTCAGAAAAGGAAACTTCTGAAAATTAGAAGTCACATAATTAGTAAAGTATGCCCTCCCAACCCCCAACGTGATTTGAAAACACAGACAAAATGGAGGGTGAAAGTTTACTTTTAAGGCCCTGTTACTAACACAGGAAAAAAAAAATATGTGTCATTAAAGGGTGGTCTTTGTGAGCCAATAATGATAGCAGACTCAAAATAACAAGGATTTGCAAAGGCAACTCATTTTACTTACACAGCAAAGAAGTCCAGGGGCTATTAGAGCACACTGGACTAACTGGTTGGACAAGAAAGGGTAGTCAAATAGAAGTATAATAGATACTGTCATATGCTGACAGAAAACTCACTGCGCATCTATAAAGGTTTTTTCTCTCTCTCTAGAGTTAACCTTTATTGCAAATCTGCCTCAACAAAAAATTTCCTCATTCAGGTTTTAATCCAAATGCAACCGATTGGAGAAAGATGGCATGAACAGAAATCACTGGGGCCTTAGGTAGTAGATCAGTGTTCACCATGGTTTATGAATGAGCTTTGGGAGCCCATTCCAAATAGAGGAATGCTCTTTCAGCCTGGACACACGGGGAAGGGCCTAGGTCCTGCCCAGGATGAAATGACAGACTTTAGAGATCCCCCCCAAGGAGGGTCTCACCCTCCCTGGGGAATGATGTGGGGATTGGTAGAGGGACAAGGGAGGAGAAGTGGGAGAGGGAGCTGGGATTGACATGTGAAACATTCATGTTTCTAATTTAAATAAAATATATTGAGAAAAAGAAAGATGACATGAAATAGATTTTCTGACACCTAGGAGGAAGCAAAGGATGAAATACAGAAACAAATACAAAAGAGGCTTGAGGATTTTAGCTCAGGAATAGAGCAGCTAGTCACCTAGTAAGTATGAGGCCCTGGGTTTGATCCTCAGACCTGCAAGATAAATCAAACAGACACAAATGTTCAGGTGTCCTATGTTATAAATACTCAAACAAAATAACTCATGAGCTACTAAATTGAGTTTTGTCTGTTTTCCAATTCACTTCTGGTCCCATCAGAGGAACACAAAGAGGCTCTCAGAGACTGATAATTTTTGCTTGAATTAATTTATAAAAACTAAAACTTTAAGCCGGGTGGTAGTGGTGTACACCTTTTCCCCCAGCACTTGGGAGGTAGAGGCAAGTGGATCTCTGTGAGTTTGAGGCCAGACTGGTCGACAGTGTGTGTTCCAGGACAGGCTTCAAATCTACAGAGAGAAAACCAGTCTCAAAAACAAAACAAAAGAAAAACAACAAAACCCCCTAAGACTTTATTATTTGAGGGCAATAAAATGATTTTGTTTGGTGATTTTTAGGTCTTTCTGTACAGGACTCTCAAAGAACCATAAGGAATATTAATGGCCAGGGCCCACCCAGAGTAATGAACCAGAACCTAGGGAAGCAGTGCCCAGGCACTAGGAAATTTTTTTTAAGGTTTCCAAGGTACTTTATCATTGTCTTCATTCAGCATGTCATACTTTATGAATACATGCTTCTTTTATTCAGCATCACCTATGAGTTGATTTTGAAACAATTCATGCATGAGACCAGCTGTTGTGATTACTGATCTTGTCCTTTAGGATAACTCTGCCTACAGGGGGCAGGTTCCACTCTTTTCCAGTTTGTGTTGCTGTGTGTGTCCATACAGCAATACGGAAAAAGCTATCACAGCTGTATTTGTTTTCCTTGCCACTGCTTTCCGAATGCTTTGAACTTGAAAACTGCCGCATGTGTTTTAACCAAGGGAAATACTGTGGGGCTAAAGATGGAACTGGGGTGACTGCAGCTGCTACCTTGGTGCGAACACACCTTAGTCACCCTTACAAAGAGCCCTGGGAAACAAGGTCCGGCATTAGTACTTTTAAGTGCTCTGCTGATGATTCTCATGTGCCTCCAGAGCAGATGGCCGCTATGCTTCTAGGTTTAGAAGTGCTGTAACTAAAGTCAAAAGAACATCCAGCACAATTCAGAGACCTAGGAAAAGCATGAGAAACAAACAAAATAATCTGAAATCTTACTACTTCTTTGGGTGTCTGTCGTTGAGTCTTTTTTCTTCCTAGGAGTGAATATGAATGGAAAGTATAGTAGGCAAAATGGTTGTTTTTGACTATTTTATTGGTGTTTTGACTGCAAGCATGTCTGTGTAACAAGTGTCCGATCTCCTGGAACTGACGTTACAGACAGTTGTGAGCTATGGGTCCTGGGAATGAAACTCAGGTCCTCTGGAAGAGCAGCCCACACTCTTAATCAAAGAGCCATTCCTCCAGTTCAGTTTTTGTTTTTTGAATGTGTCTTTCTATGTACTTCATGCTGGCCTGGAACTCCTTTGGTCTCTACTTCCAGAGTGCTGGGAATGCAGGCAGGTTGCAAAAGCAGCACAAAATATTATTTGTTGACAGCAAGTATATATAACCCATTCTAGAACTAGAACTAGAGGGCATCTTGTCTAAGTTTATTTTATAGATGAAGAAATTAAGATCAAAAGAGTCCCTAACTGAACAATCAGGTAGTTCGTGTCCATTCTGGTTTAGACTTCAGTTTTCCTAAGCTTATGGAAAAACATACTAGGGCAAGGGAGATGGCTCAGAGGTTAAAGAGCACATACTGCTCATATAGAGGACCTGTGTTTGATTCTCAGCACCCATGTCTGCCTGGCAGCTAACAACCACTTGTAACTCCAGCTCCAGGAGATCCGACACCTTCTGGCCTTCTCAAGACACCTGTACTTATTTGCACATAGTCCCACACAGAGTCACACATGAACATACACAATTTTTAAATCCCTAAAAAAAATACCCTCACATATTAGTTTCCACTTCCTTAGAAAGCACATTCAAAACCCCATGTTTCTCTCTCTCTCTCTCTCTCTCTCTCTCTCTCTCTCTCACACACACACACACACAAACACCCCTTTAATGATATTCTGATTATCTTTTTAAAAAGACTAGCCATAGTGGTGCAGGCCTATAATCCCAGCACTTGGAAGACAGAGGCAATTAAATCAAGAGTTCAAGACTATCTTGGCTACATAGTGGCTCTGAGGTCAGTCTGAGCTAAGTGAGACTGTTTCAAAAACAAAACAGGACACAAACAAGCAAGCAAGCAAAGAACAAGACAAGGAAAAGAGCAAGTGAAGCTTATGAAGCCACCCTTCATTTTTCTCCTGAAACACTCTAACATGAACACAGCAGCTGTCCCTGCTCTATTCTGTGGAACAGATTCTATTGGTGGCTCAAAGGAGTTAAGAAAAAGAGAAAGAGATGGAGGGAGGGAGAGACAAAGAAAAGACCCTGCATCTTGGCACAGGTCTTTAATCTTGGGAGACAGAGGTAGGCTAATGTCTGTGAATTTGAGACCAGCCAGGGATACACATTGAAACCCTGTCTCTAAATGAATGAATGAATTGTAGACAAGAAAACTAAAAGCAATTCTTTAGCCATTTTTATTTTGACAGTAAAATCTTTTACTGGGGGAATGGGCCTGTAGGGGATGGGTGTGGGGTCCTTACTGCAGTTTATTCATTGCCACTGTCTCCAGAATCCTGGGACTTCATAACTGGAGAAAGGTTCAAGGCACAGGGCTTGGAAGATATTATCTGCCGGAAAGGCCAGGTGTACTGAGGCTGGGGCCGGTGGCTGTTTTGTCTGGCCTAGCATTATTCCATTATCGAGGAACTGATCACTTTTGTGCACCCACTGCTCATCCGGAGGTTGATGAGGAGCCCTTGGCGATTAACACCAGTGCTCAACTCCTTGGCATCTGTGAAGACCGTGGTCTTATGGTGCCATGTCGTGAGAAACACATCCATTTCTGTGGTTCCATGAGCCGGTGCAGCCATGCTCCTCTTTGTAACCATTTTTTTTTAAACGGTTCATTACACTACACTAACAGCACTGAAAATACCATAGATGTGAGCAGAATATAATACACATTTATTCCCCAAAGCTGATCTTGGAATCCTCCGTCTCATACCAATGATTCATCTTTCTGAGATGAAGCAAATTACATGATGAAGATTCCTGGGGTAAAGAAAACATCTCCTGGCTTAGTCTTTGTGGATGAACTGGCTTATAGTTTAAACTTTCTGATAGCAGGAAGAGGAATGCATTAAATAGGAATATGTGATTTTATTGACCAACTGAGTATTTTTTAAAAAATATTCATTCAAAATTTATTAGCACATGAATGCACTGAAAATTAGGCAACATTATCTGAGAACTATTACTTAACACAATATTTGTGATGACATCCTATTTTGTATATTTTGTTTTATGTAAGTATAATTATAGCCTATTTCTACCATAGTATATTTACTTACAATTTTAGTTTACTAACTAAATATTCAGTGCTGTTGTACTTATCAGTAGTTTTGCTTTTCATGGCCTAAGTTATCTGCAACAGCTACTTTAGTTTCAACTGTTCTGTAACAATGTTAAGTTACACTGTTCTGAATAGCATGGCTAACTCTCAAGCCCTGCAACACTGTCCTACCCTGAACATGATTTACCACTTTCTCTTCTATGAAAACAGACTGCAAAATTGGGAAATAGAGTGGACAGGGTTTCTCTGTGGTTTTGGAGACTGTCCTGGTACTAGCTCTTGTAGACCAGGCTGGCCTCGAACTCACAGAGATCCGCCTGCCTCTGCCTTCCGAGTGTTGGCACCAACGCCCGGCTGGAGGTGGAAATCTTAATGTGTGCAGATCATCAAATTCTTAGGTGGTCAAGGAGGCCTTTTTAGCCTTATCCTCGACCACACAGTCACTACACTCCCTTCCTCAAAACTCCAGCCATAACAAATAACTTGGGAATAATATAAATAAAAGTAGATAAGATAAATTACCGCTTTTAACTGATATTTTAAAGTGGGCTTTTAAAATAATTTAAAGCGTATATACTTTTTGTTCTGTCTGGCAGTTCCATTCCCAGTACGATAACTTAAGGGAGCAAGATGTACTACATGATTTTCACACTAACACTGAATTATAAAAGGGGTGTGAGGGCGGAGGCAATTTTCCAATAATAGGCCAAATTACAATACAGACTGAATATAAGCTTCATTTTCCAGGAATGGTAATGAATACGTAATGATAAAAAACTAGGCGTAGGTTACAGGACCTATCTAATCTCACAGTAGATCTTCAAGGTAGGCGAACATTCCGTTTTCGCATGAGGCAGGTGGGAGCAGTGGATTTAACCTAGTCGAGGTGACACAATTAGTAAGCAGTGAAAAGATTTTTAAGTTAAATCCTGAGCCCACGTATCTTCCCACTCCTAGTGTCCACCTCGTTGGGTTAGCTTGCGAATTAAGTGGAAAACACAAACAAACAAAAACCCCAAATATATAGCTCCTGCAACACGTGGACACGTAGTAGCTAGAGGCTGCATAACCGGCTCACGGTCACCCAGTTCCCGGTAACCTCAGGATTAAGAAAACGATTTAGTTTCGTACTCGTCTTGGCTTCAATTCCTGCCACTTCGGACTTCACTCCGGCGCCGTGACGCGCACCTAAGAGACAAGAGCACCAGTAACAGGTCTATTCGTCTCAAGAAGCTGGACTCGTACACCGCCTTGTTCTTCAGCTTTCCAAAAGGCAGAGAATCGTTCTTCTGGACACCCGAGAGCGAGTTTCTGGCGAGTGCGTGACGTACATATTGTGCGCCGGAAGTGCGCAGTGGCGAAAGCCAGCCAGCGGCGGTACTTGCAGTGACCACCTCTGGTCCTCCCAGAGGAACGCAGCGACCGGAGGGTCAACGCAGCTGTCATGGCGACCCAGGGGGGGCCTGGTGGCCAACCGAGGCCGGCGGTTCAAGTGGGCCATTGAGCTGAGCGGGCCGGGAGGAGGCAGCAGGTGAGTCTGTCGAGTGAAGCGCGGCGTCCGAGCCTTACCCTAGAACGGCCAGAAATCCAGCGGACCTGGGCCGCAAGTTTCCGACACCCGACACGGGTGGGTGGCACACAAACGTCTCCTGAGGAGGTTTTGTGCTGTGGAAGTTATTTTACCCGAAGGATCTCCCCCCGCCCCCCCAAGGATCTTTATTTTAGTCTTTCCAATAGACTGCAAACTGACGAACGTACGAGAGGATCTAATTTGGGTAACTACACCTGAGGATCTTTATTCTTGTGATTGATCGAACTGGGAAGCAGTCTTAGTCTCTCGATTTGGTTTGGTTCTTTAGGGGCCGAAGTGACCGGGGCAGTGGACAGGGAGACTCACTCTATCCAGTCGGGTACTTGGACAAGCAAGTGCCTGATACCAGCGTGCAAGAGACAGACCGGATCCTGGTGGAGAAGGTACAGAGGTATTAACTGTTACTGTAGCATTTGGGCCAGCCCTGGCTCACCTTACTCTCCGGAGTACAGGTAAAGATTGCCATTGTCTGAGTGCTTGGAAGCTAAATGGCTTTAGATTCGTATTACAGTCAGTATCTTACATATAAGATCCAAAAGTGGTTAATAATTGAAAAAAAAATACGTTTATGAAGTAGGTTGAAAAACGGCATCGGTGGCAACACCTTCCTCTTGAAGTCATGCTTTTCTCTTCTCGTTCTCTATCAGGATATTGTGTTACTTTAAAAAAAAATGTATTTAACTGTGAAGGTGTCAAACCCCCTGGAACTGGAGTTACAGACAGTTCTGAGCTGCTATGTGGGTGCTGGGAATTGAACCCTAGTCTGTGTGGAAGAGCATTCGGTGCGCTTAACCGCTGAGCACATCTCCAGCCCGGTGTGTTGCTTTTACGTTTAAAAACAAAATCCCAGTCCTCCTAACATTTCTTGCTGCTGTCACCTGTTACATCACCCCAGCCCTAGCCACCATCCTGCACCCAGATTTTTGCAGTAGTCTAATTATTTATCAACTGTCCCTCTGCTCCTTTTCGTATTAAGCATGGTTTCTTAACCTCGGCACTGTTTTCTATCGGGGACTAAGTACTTTTTCATTGTGGGAAGTTGTACTGGGTACTGTAAGATGTAGTATACTTGATCTCTACATTTTAGGTACTATTGTTTCTTTACATACTTGTGTGAACTAAAGATGTTTTCAGCATTACCACGTTTTCTTTCCAAGAGACAAATTGCCCTTGCTTGGGAACCTCTAATCTAAAAGGGTACAATTTGATGAGCTTTAACATTGTATACCCCCAGTGAACCTGTATTCAAGTCTCCCCCCCTTCTCAAATTCCCAATATCCCTTTTGGAATAGAGGTCCAACTTGTCTTGCTGCTTCTACCTTGTCCCCCGTGTAGTCTGCAAGCACATCCATCATAATGATCCCTTTAAAACATACCAGGTCATCCCTACTCAAAATCAGTTTATAAGTTCATGTGCATTCAGCATAAAAACCAAACCAAAATCTTTTTAGTATTATCCGTAACTCTGCATGCCCCAGTCAAACTCCTTGTAACAACTTTGGCCTTAACGCCTACAATTTTTGCAGTTGTTTACTCTCGTCATAATGGTTTCCCTGCTGCTCTTTAAGGGTACCAGACAAGTTCCCATCCCCTGCTTTGTGTTTGTCCTTAGACTGCTTTTCCTCTGGGTTCCTTTATAACTCGATTGCTCTTTTCCTTTAGGGTCTTCCTACTGTTACATAATTAAGCCTTTTTCTATTGCTTTTCTATATCCTTTCTTTGTATTTTTCTGTGTCATTTATATGTTATAAAGATATCACATGGTAATTATGTTGTCATTTAGCATCTGTCTTATCACTTGTGTAAAGCTATATTAGCAGGAATTTTACAATAGAAGCGTGTCCCAAATATATAGAGTGCTGCTTTTTATTTTTTTCATATTTCTCTCACAGCCTTAATACTGCTGAACATACGGTTTTATTCCAAGGAATACATACATTGTTTTTTCACGCATTAATAATTTTTCGATAAGTATTATCTCACAACTTTTCATCTTGTCTCATCAAAATATGATTACATTGTAATAAGTTATTAAATTACATGATTTTAAAAAGGCAGATCATAAAGTACTTCTATAACAATTCTGTGTTCTATGGTCTACAGAATTTACAAATAAGGGTTTAAAAATGCAAATAAAATAGTTATGTTTATATTTATATAGCTAGACTTACTTTGCTAATATTATTTTCTTTTAGTTTTACTTTATGCATATCAGTGTTTTGCCTGCATGTATGTCATGTTTTTCGTGTATGTCTGGTGCTTTCAGAGGTCAGAAGAATTAGATCCTCTGTGGAGTTATGGATGCTTGTGAGCTCCCATGTGGGAGCTAGGAACCAAACCAGTTCCCAGCAGAAGCAGCAAGTACTTTTAAACACTGAACCATCTCTCCAGTGCCTCTGTCAGGATTTTTGCATTTAGATGCATTCATGAGTAAGATTTATTTATACACACACGCATGCATACTTACATTTACTTCTCATAATGTCTTTTGAAGTTTGGATATTCATGGGTTTTGAGTTGTAGAATTTTTAGTTTAGTTTTGTTTCCTTCCAGAAGAGTTTGTTAAGACTTATTTTTAGCTTTAAATGGTTAGAATTTGCCAAGGGAAGCCACTTGGGCTTAACTATAGGGTCAGCTTTGTTAACTGCCATGGGACTATGTTTGTTCCTTTTTTCTTATGCCATTTGTATAAGTCATGTTTCTAGGAATTTATCCACTTCCTAAAATTGAAATAGTCAAAGTAGTTTATAATAATCGCAGGATCTGTGAGCTGTCCCCCTTTCCCCTTTTCCTTTTAGACATGAAAGACTTGTCTTTTCCTTTCTAATTCATCAAACTTAGAAATGAATTTCTAATCTTTGTATAAGACAAATTTAGCTTTGATGATTTTATTTCATTCATGAATTTCTCTCATCTTTGTTTTCTTTTCAAAATTCTTTTTTAGTTTTTTTTTTTCCCTAACTTTCATGAGCTAGATGCTGAGTCTTCTCACACATTCTTTTTTTTTTTGGTTTTTCGAGACAGAGTTTCTCTGTATTGTTTTGGAGGCTGTCCTGGACCAGGCTGGCCTCGAACTCACAGAGATCCGCCTGCCTCTGCCTCCCAAGTACTGGGATTAAAGACATACCCCACCAAAGCCCGGCTTCTCACACATTCTTAAGATCATGAATTTCTAGCGGGTGTGGTGTTGCATATCAATAATCCTGTCAGTTGGCAGGATGATACCAAAAAAAAAATCTCAAGTTGGAGGTAAACCCAGACATAGCAAGATGTGGTCTCAAGGAACAAAAAGGTTATAACCTTTTTTTTTTTTGGTTTTACGAGACAGGGTTTCTCTGTTTTGGAGGCTGTCGGTCCAGCCTGGCCTCGAACTCTCAGAGATCCGCCTGCCTCTGCCTCCCGAGTGCTGGGATTAAAGGCGTGCACCACCAACGCCTGGCTGTTTATAACCTTTCTCAAAACTTGCTGGGCAGTGGTGGCACACGCTTTTATTCCCAGCACTAGGGAGACAGGCAGGCAGATTTCTGAATTTGAGACTAGCCTGGTCTACAAAGGGAGTTCCAAGATAGCCAGGGCTACACAGAGAAACCATCCTGAAAAAGAAAACAAATGGAAAAAAGTATCGGTAGACAAGTAGAGGGACCTGAACAACCTGAAGTGGTGGTGGAGCTGAAAAGTCAGTCAGTCAGTCAAGCAGAGAACTGAAACCTCTTTTTGACTTAAGCATCCCTCATGGTAAATGTGAGACTGAAAGGTAGTGATGAGAGGTTTAAACTGTGTGTTTGTTTTAGCGCTGCTGGGACATCGCCCTGGGTCCCCTCAAGCAGATTCCTATGAACCTCTTCATCATGTACATGGCTGGCAATACCATCTCCATCTTCCCTACTATGATGGTGTGTATGATGGCCTGGCGACCTATTCAAGCACTTATGGCTATTTCAGCCAGTAAGTATTCATAATAACCACCTCCCCTGGGTGCTAAAGATTGAAGGCAAATTCTTTGGTATATTTTTGGCAGGGTGGTGGTGGTGGTAGTGGTGGCATGAAAAGAAAATGGTGTGTAGTTTTCTGTTTACTTGGCATGATACTATTTACAATCTTATTTTGGGTCTGTAAATTCATTGTTGCTTTCATTCATATTGGAAGAAGATGGTTTTGATGATGTCTGTTATCCCAACAGCTTTCAAGATGCTGGAGAGTTCAAGCCAGAAATTTCTTCAAGGTTTGGTCTATCTCATTGGGAACCTCATGGGTTTGGCATTAGCTGTTTACAAGTGCCAGTCCATGGGATTATTGCCTACACATGCATCAGATTGGCTGGCCTTTATTGAACCCCCTGAGGTAAGTTAACATTAAACTTCAGGCAAATGGGATATATGGAGAATAGCTAGTTCATTTGATGGTAGGGAATTAGAGTTGGTGTTGAGAGTTCATTTATTTTTTTTAAAGCTTTTACATTTACCTTTTTATTGCATGCTTCTCTCTCTGTGTGTGTGTGTGTGTGTGTGTGTGTGTGTGTGTGTGTTGTGGAGGTTAGAGAACAATTTGCAGGAGTTGTTTTTCTCCTTCTATTATATGGGTTTTGGGAATTAAATTCAGGTTATCTGGCTTGGCAGCAAGTGCCCTTACCCACTGGCCCTCCTAGCTGGCGCAAGAGTTTATTTCTTAAGTAATAAAACATTAGGAGTTTGGAAGTTACAGTGTCATGCATGGCAGAGCTTGTGATTAACTGAGTAGTTGTGCACCATTCACTTCTTTGCTGTTTCTTTTTCTAGAGGATGGAGTTCAGTGGTGGAGGGTTACTTTTGTGAACTTGAGGAAGCAGCACCTGATGTCCATGTCTTGGGCCTGGTTTGCATGGCCTCCTTTGCACTCTGAGCTCACAGCTCCAAAGTATCCTCACCTAAAATAATCACGCATGTTGAGGAGAACCAGAAATGGTGAGAAATTCTACAAGGACAGCGTGCAGCATGTTACGGCAGAAAAGAAACTACAGCACAACTTCTGACTGAAAATAATGTAGAAAACTTTATTTATGTTCCCAGCACAGAGCAAAACAAACAAAACCAGACTCTTTGTAAACAAAACAATAGCAGCTGCTGAATAGCAGCATCTCCTTCCAATAAATTAAATGTTGAAGAACAATGCTTTTAAAAGTTTCTCAAGTTCCCCTTAAACCTATAATATTTCACTTCTATATCGCATAAGCAGAGACAAAAATTCTGTGTCAGACATTTTTTGGAAGATGTTGAGAAACTAATGCTGGATTCAAATTATACATGATGAAAAGAAAAATAAACCAGAAAAAGGAGCATGTAAATATGCTTACAGTGTAACTTATTTCAATACCCACAATAAGAAGTTTTTTAACATTTAGGGGGAATGAGGATTAATGGGATCCTTGGGGCCACAAGAATAGGAGGGAACGGAAGATGAAAAGCAGTGACTTTTCCTCTACCAAGAGGAAGCTGGCACCTGTCAGACAGGCCCTGCAGTTCAAACTCCAGCTTTTAAGATAGCTATGAAAGGCTGAGGAGGACCAGTGTGGGGAGAACGAATGTTACAGCCTGCCCTGCTAAACTCATGGGTAAGACCAAAGCTGGCTCTTGTAAGAAGGCAGGAGAAGGTCTTTCTCTTCCCTCTAGAAGCATTGGCCCCTTCCCCTAAGGTGCATTTTCTCTCAAGTTTTCAGTATTGCTTTATTTGCAGTGATTAAAAGAGATAAAGACACTTTATAGACAGACAACATAAGCCACACATAGACATGAAATGCTCTAGACAGAGATGAGTATAAATCTGGCCTAATAACCATTTTTTCCATGTAACAGTGATTTTATGTTTTAGGGACTGAAATAATAGCTATATTAGTAGCTACTAATTTTCTTACCCTTTTAAAGATTCTTACATAGCTCTAACCACAAACAGCCTTTGTTTGTAAAAGTTAACTTTACTCTGCCCATATTTGTTTGATGGGGAAAAGGGTGGTATCACTTTGGTCAGGGGTAGATGTGCTAGGTAGTTCCTGGGGAGGCTGGCTTTTACAGAAGGGTGTTTAACACCTTGGAGCCTAGAGGACTATACTCAACTATGCAATGGAGTGTCAGAAAGGGAACTGTAGTTTCTACCCTCTGCAGGGAGGAGTAGGAAAAGATTCTGGATCCTCTCTGCTACCTTGAGTAGGCATGGGGGGGATGAAGAACAAATCATATGACTCAGCTTCTTAAGCCATTTTTGAGGGTTTTCTTCTGTTGCTGGGGTTGAATTCTGGATGTTCCATGTCCTACAGGGTATGGAGTGCAGTACAATTTACCATAAGTAAAGGGGAATTTAATAGCAGCCACGTATATAAGAAGACAGTTTCTTAATTATCTTGTAAAGAATATGAAGGTTTCACATGCTTGAAATTACTGCTCACTCACAGACTTCCAATGCTGGTAAGCCAGGTGTTCATGATCAATAAATTAGAAAAAAAGCCGAGCTTACACAAGTATTTTCTTGGCACATTTAGAGCTTTTGAAAACAAAACTGGCGAGCAGACCATTGGTTTTGAACCAAGTTTCTGGAGTCAGAATGAAGAGTAACATTGAAAGAGGAAAGCTCAGCTCTGGGCATGGAGGTGAGTGCCTCAAGTCTTCACTATGGCTTTGGTGAAGAGGCCACAATTTCACTTCTTGTGAAAGAAGAGCTGCTTACGTCAGGCCAATGCAAAACTGTCTGCCACTTTAGACAGATGACTTTGGCACCGTGTAAAGGGTATGGCTCTCACATGCCCAGGTCCACTGCTGGGACCCCATGGAGGTGGCAGTACACAGTCCTAGTGTCTCTTCCTTACGGCTTTTCCCCCCCTTACTTTCTTTTTTTTTTTTAAATCAGTGCCTACTAAGGATAAAAGAAGAGACCCTCCTGGTTAAGCTGCAAAACCACCTACATTTCTTGGATGGTACATTGTGTGCTTTGAGTTGCATAGCTAACCACAGGCTCTGTTCCTGCACATTTTAATAGGTATTCTCTGGAATCCCCTTAGTCCAGCCATTTGAAAATATGAAAAACATTTCCCACAGTAACACTGTCTGCATTACAACCACAGAATGGTTTTTAAAAGAAAGTTGAAATACACAGTAGAACAGTAAGGACAATAAAACTTAGTATCTGAGGGATCTGATTTTTGAGTAAGAAGTAGAGGCTGCAGCTATGTTTCAGGTTTTATATATCAGTATCCTAAGGTTTACTTGGCTTGCCACAGGCTAGCTCCACAATGGTAACATACTTGGCCACCTTTTTTTTTTTGGCTACCTCCCTGGTGCCATCTAGAACCGTGCCTTCTGAGACTCATCCTGAATTATGGATATTAACTTGTTTTTAGTTAAATTTCTAGCATATGTTACTAACTCACTACCTTCAGCAGTACCAAAAGGTTCCCTTTGGCTTAGCTTGTTAATTATGACTTGCCTTCTCCTGCCACAGAAATAGCTTTTAGGACTTGACCATTCTGATGTTTAGAGATGGCAGATCATGTTGCAGCCAAGAACATAGTTGGGGCTCAGTTCCACAAGAACAGAGTGTTAGGAAAGAGCTGTCATCTCCATGGACGATGAGTCTTTTAGGGAAAGTAAGATCAAGCAGTATCTTCCACAAGCTGACTATGAGTAAATGGTGATCACTTCGCTGCCACCACCCCGGACAAGGAGGACTCTCTCTAATCCCTCGGTGAGGACTTCTAGAAATTCCATGTCTTCACAAGTTGTCAAGGAAACAGGCAGATGAATACTATAGTTTATAACCTGGCATCAGCAATCTAAATTTATTTGATCACAGAACTGCAAACTCAACATATTTCTCTTAATTATATACTCAGAATAGGAGAAGCCTATTATATGTATAGAGTCAACATTCACCTATACACCAACCCTCCCATTCTTTTCAGCAGTGCTATGCATTAAAATGAGGGCCTCGTGCATGCTAGGCAAACACTCTGTGCAACTGTTCCACCTGCTCTGATTTTAATTTTTTTGAAATTCTGAAGCAGGGTCTCACTAAATTGCTCAGACTGGTCATGACTCACTATGTCATCCAAGCAGACCTTGGTAATTTTTCTTCACCTTCCTAAGTAGCTGAGATTATATAGGCTTGTACCACCAAGTCTGAAACTAGATTCATTTTAAACCTATGAAATAGTCCTGGGATGTAGACCCTTTGCATAGTTAATATAAGATATTCTCATATGTTCCTTCCCTCCCTAGTTCCAAGTTACTGGGAACTAACCCAAGAGTCTCATGCATGTTAGGTAAACATTCTATCAGCGAGTAATAGTCTTAGCCCTTGTTATTTTCTGAATGTGATTTAAAACCAGGCAAACAGCGAGATGGCCCACTACTGAAAGAATTTCCTGACAAGCCTGACAACCTGAGTTCAATTCTTCAGAATGAGTGAGGAAAATACACACATAAATTCAAACACAAATACTTTTGAGACAGACTCTCACTGTGTAACACAAGATGGGCTGAAATGCAGTATATAGACTAAACTGACCTTGATCTGCCTGCCTCTGCCTCCTGAATGCTGGGCTTAAGGGTTAGTCACATTGCCTGCCATAAATAAAAAGTTTTAACTGACTGGAGAGATGTCTCAGGGTTAAGAACACATGATGTTCTTTCAGAGGACCTGGCTATGAGCTCCCAGCATGCATGTGGTGGCCCATGACTATGTGTAACTCAGTTCCAGGAAATCTAACACCCTGTTGAGACGTCCATGAATATCAACCAGACATGCACAAGCATGCATGCAGGCAACAGACACATGAAAAGAAAGGTTAAGGGGGGTGGCAGGTAAAGACACTTGCTGTGCAAGCCTGATGACCTGAGTTTGACTAACTCTCAAAGGTTGCCCTCTGACCTTTACATGCTGTGGTATGGTGTATGTGCATTCATATGCCAGTATGCACACACAATTAAAAAATGAAAATTACCCAGGCCATGGTGGTACACACCTTCAACCCAGCACTCGGAAGACATTGAGTCTGAGGCCAGCCTGAGTTCCAGGACAGCCAGGACTGTTGCACAGAGAAACCCTGTCTCGAAAAACCAAAATGAAAACTAGAACTGGCAATATGTCTCTTTTGACAAAAATGCCACCTAAAATTAGAAAACAACTAAAAAATACCAGGCTCAAAAGATCTCTAGAGTGAACCCACAGAATTTCTAGTTAGATTTTCCTATCATTTTTTTCTCATTAATAAATCACTCCCCTTTTCCTCAATGCTGCTGCTAAGAAGGGGCCAGTCTGTGTCACTGCAGGCTGGAGGGTTCCCAAAAACAACCTGGATGAAAGAGAATCTGTAGGCCTTTTTCTAACTTCTGTTATGAAGTCCCATCTCAAGTGCTTCTCCACTAACTCCATCCAAAGCAGGCTTTGAGGAAGACACTAGATGGAGAATGGACGTGGGTTCTATCTCTCGGTTTATCACTATCTGCCCCAACTTCCTGAGGAGAAATCGGTCAATCTCACATCTTTGGAAGTATCCTTACCTATGGCATTCAGCTCTTCCTCAGAGAGGGAAGTGGGGAACAGACCTACTTTAACCATTGCCTTGTCTAATAAGAGGCTAAGCAGATTTTTCTTTCTTATTGGCAGCTTTGCTCTCAGAAAGGATACAGTTTTCATCACCTTCAGGGTTTCGGGGTGGTCCTGGCATATTCAACAAAACCAGTTTTGCTTCATGGGACTTGTTAACTATGACTTCATTGAGCTTCACTGCTGTATGCATCCGTCTCACATTGGACTGGTCCCTGAGCGGGGAAGAAGTAAGGTACTTAAGGCAAAAGGAAAACCAATTACAAGTACTCTTTATTTTGATGCCCAGGGCCATTTTACTTGACTATGAATAATCTGATAATTTCTTTGTTATATTATCAATAAAGATAATTCAGGTCCTAAGGCTTGGCAACAAGCTATTATCTCAATGGCCTGGTTTTCTCATTCTGTTTGCTTATTTTATAATAATCGACAAATAATACAGAAATGAACAATGTATAGGAAAAAAGAATGGTTAGTTTGTACCAATTTTTAATTGGGAATTAATCTTCAGAGGCAAACAATAGATGATTTAGTCAAGATGAAAACACCCCATTCTATGTGACTGTATCCAGGTAAAATCACTTATGTACCACTGTCTAGGATACTGTATTACAGGATAAGCTTGTGAGTGGAAACACTTACGGACGCATATTAAGTAGGTCCTGGAATCCTTCTATTGACTTGACCCTTTGTCCCCGGGAAGCCATGTATTTATCCTTGGTCCAAGTCATGTGCACCTTCTCCTGGTAAGTTTCTGTCTCTTCATCCTCATCAGAACCAATGCTAGTTAAGCGCAGCATTGAGTTTCGATCTTTTACCAGTTGTGCCTGGGGAAGGCCAAACAGTTACTCTACCTGTTCTTTTCCTCATCCTTTAACTGTTTTGAAAGGACAGTAGGTTATACGGGAATAACTGACAAAATGAGAAGCAAAGATTAGTCTTCTATATCGTTGACAGTCCTCAGAGAACAGACCAGCTCAATTAGGCAAGCTCTTACCTCTCTGTCGCGCTCCGTTTTGGATAGCCGCATGTGCCGGAGCATCTGGGACCTCTGCTCCATCATCAGGGTGCGCTCGTATGTATACGCAGATATGTCACTGTCATGCTGCCCCAGACAGCACACAAAGGAGGCACAAAGAACAACAAAGGGTCACCCATACATTCTTATTTTACATACTTTGATTCAGAAAAACTGTGACCACATCAACCTTTCACTCCCTATTTCGTTCAGTCTTGAGTTACAAGGACACATGGTTCGGGGGATGTCCATTAAATACAGAGTCACTGAATAGTTTCTATGATTTAATCATATTTGTTTCCTTAAAAAAACACTGCAGTTTGTATTTTCCACACAAAAACTAGTGTGATTTTTAACATGAATTAAATATGAATAAACATATTAAGCAGCTAAGAACTTGAGATATATATCTCATACATAATATATATATGAGCTGTGTAATAAATAACAAATCAAAAGCAACCCCAGGGACAGGAAGGCGATTCAGTGGGTAAAGGCATTTGCTGCCAAGTCTGATGCTCCAAATTTGGGTCCAAAGACTCACTTGATAGAAGGAAAGAACTGACTCCTGTAAGTTGTTCTCTGAGTCTCTCTCTCTCTCTCTCTCTCTCTCTCTCTCTCTCTCTCTCTCTCTCTCTCTCTCTCTCTCTCTCTCTCTCTCTCTCTCTCTCTCTCTCACACACACACACACACACGAATAAAAATTTAGATCGCTTTTTAAAAAGAAAGCAAATTTAAAAAAACCAATCCCAAACATTTACACATCCTACGTACTTAGGTCAATAAATTAAGGTTTTGTTAGGCTTAGGGGTTTAAACACACTTATAGCTGAGTACTATCCCAGACTAGATTCTAGTAAGAGAGCTGGGGTGAGGGAGTGGTGGTCAAACTCCACTTCCTCACCATCTCCACCACTTCCACTTCAGCCTCAATGCGCAGATGGTACAGGAAGGTGGCCAGGTCCTTCTTCATCTGGATACTGTTGTCTTCAAGTTGGGCCACCGTGAAGATCCTTATGCTGCATTTTCGCCATACCTGATGGAATGCCATGTATAATGGAAAATTAGATGTAAGAAGGTGGCATTTGCCAGCATGTTTCGCCATTCCTGGCTTTAACTTCTTTTTTTTTTGGTTTTTACAAGACAGGGTTTCTCTGTATTGTTTTGGAGGCTATCGGTCCAGCCCGGCCTTGAACTCACAGAGATCCGCCTCTGCCTCCCGAGTGCTGGGATTAAAGGCGTGCGCCACCACCGCCCGTCATCTGGCTTTAACTTCTTAATTCCATAATTCCATAAAAAAACAAAACTTGCTCATGTAGTATTGTGAAATTGGCCTTTGTCCTGACTCCTGGCATATAAATTATAAGATACTTGGAAGGACAGAGGCTGAGGATTGAGTTGACCACCAATGGTGAACAATTTAAGACAGAAGCATGGGTAGAACAAACAGGGCTTGCAGGCCACATCCTCAGGATGCAGGAAGACAGTGTGTAAGGCTACATCAATCTGAGGGAGAGAATGCTACCTCCGTATAATGAATCATAATTGATTTAGAGGGCACCAAGCTGCTGCCTGCTGCAGGAGCAGCTGCTGGCTTCATACAGGGAAGGTAAAACACATCTACATATCCTCACTCAGTATACACTGAGAGTGCTCCATTCACACAGCATAACAATGATACCATACAAACTTATCAGAGAATAAGTATATTGGGTATGATATGCACAACATACACATACTTACCCCTGAAACTGATGCAATCCTGTTTTTGTTTTTGTTTTTCCTGAACACTCATACAGAACTTTAATAAACTTGTTGGGTTTCACTTAAGGTGGATTGGTATAACATACAACAACAGAATGAAATAAAACAAAAATCCTAAACCCACTCTATTTCTTGTAAGGCTGAAGGTGGGATTATGGGACAGCCAAGAATAAGCCCCATCTCTTCAGATTATAAGTCCTACAATTATACAGTTTAATCATCATCATCATCATCATCATCATCATCATCATCAGCATCAGCATCATCATCATCAGCATCCACCTAGTGAGCCAGGACAGCAAGAGGGAGTGCTTTTAAAAAGAGTGGCCCAGAATACCTTGTGCTGTTTCAGTAGGAATGGTAACAGCATGAGCATGCCCCCATCATGCACAATCCACCACACATCAATGTTGCCCTCAGAAAATTGCTCCACATTGCTGGGAAAGAAGGAGACATTTTTAGCCACCAGCAGGGCTAGATGGGCAGCAGTTGTCACTCGAACTGTGCCTATGGAGAAAAGAAAGAACTGGGATATGCAAACAAGAACTGCAGGAAAGGAAGGTAATCCTCATTGACACTTCTTTGAAGATGTGGCCCACTGACATAATACATCTCGCTTTACTAAGAGACAGAGGTCACTGAGGGAAGTCTAGAGAGCTAGTAACTAATGGAGGAACATGGTTCAGGAAACTAGGGATACTACATACTTAAAGTATGAATCTGGGAGAGTCTGATGAAAGACAGTATTTCTATTTCCTGTGAGGACATCAAAATGAAAAATGACTAATAAAAATGACAACAGATGAGACTTGACATAGATAAATAATTTGTGAACATAAATGTAAAGCTGGAAAAGGTAGGTAATACAGGCTATTGTGAGTTCGTAGGTGCCTTCTAACAGCATGCTTCACCATGGAACAGTTTCTACTTAAGGAGAGTTAGGGTGACAGATTCAATGTGATCCCCCTCTGGGCCCTCAGGTAAGTACAGGAAACATTTTGTACCAATGAAAGTCTTCCAAGCACGGGCATCTTCACTCTGACGCCAGCCGTTGGGCCAACCCATCACCACTGTGTTGTGCTTCATGCCCCCAAGGCCACAGGACTGGATGAGGTGTGAAATGCCCTCTTTCAGCTTGGCAGCCACCACCAGCTGACAGAATCCTTTTACCTTTTCTGCCTCCATTAGGTGCTTGATGGTCTGAAAAAGATACAAACCTTCAACTACTTTACCCTGGATCTGTTAACTCATCATTCCTTCTCATTACTGTATTCCCATCTTTATTCAAATTCTAAGACTGCATCTCCATAGAAAAGTCCAAAAAGTCAAATGTGCTTTACTGAACTGTCATCTTTATTTTTACTCTAGAAGTGCTTACTGACTATACTTATATCTGTAGCTGGTGGTCCACAAGTAGCTTCTCTTCCCTTTCCTCTATTCTGCTTGCTTCCTTTTTAGATGAAGCACTGAGCACAGGACTGTCCAAAAAGTGAATACTGGGCATAGTTTCTTGATTGACAAGGCAAGTTCACTAGTGTAAATGCCATACTCTTGTTAATCCCAGACATGCCCTGATTAGGTGATTATCAGCTGCCCAACATGATTGCTGGGAACCAAACTCAAGTTCTCTGCGAGAGTAACATGTTCTCTGAACTCCCTTGCTACTCTTTAAGAGTTTCACAGTACTTCAAATGAAATCCAGTATGAGCATTAAAATCCTGCTGAGATTAGTCCAATCACTGACAGGATCGGGGCAAATGCTTCATTCTTTACACAGAAGAACCTGCTCAGCAAATTTAGTGAGAAGTAGCAATCAAAGTTTTTCTGATACCATACAGGAGGTGGTAAAAAGAAAAGACGCCTTTGGTACCACTGTCACCAGATTTAGGAATGTCCTCCAGGGTCAAACACAAACATTCATGATTTGCAGTCTAACTGGAAACAATGTTTACTGATAATCTCTCGGGTGATGCTTTACATTCGAAGAAGAGACACCCCCTTTGGCTCCTTCTGTTTGGGGGACTATGACTGTTCAAAAGCCAGCACTGAGTCAGAGGCCTAGATCACACAGAGAAAGGAATAACTTCAAATTCTGAGGGCTTCCTGCTTAATTGAACTTAGCTTACAGCTTTGTGACACTAAGTTGATAAACTCTACATTCAAAGTCAGTCAACAAGCAGTTATGCACATACATTCTTTTAAACTGATTTTTTTACATCTATTATACCATTCAAATGCTTTACTATACTCATGATTTCCTCAGAAATCTCTTATCAAGGTACACATAGAAAAGCTTTTTTTATTTTGTTTTGTGAGACAGGGTCTTGGTTGTACTGGTGTTCAATGTGAAGACCAGGCTGGCCTTGAACTCACAGAGATCTATCTGCCTTGATGATCCAAGTGTTGAGATTTAAAGGTGTGCACCACCATGCGAGGCTCAGAAACATATTTTTAAGTAAACAGGAATGAAGGCTCTTCCAACTTTTATTGTACACTAATGTGAAAGGTTCACCATTTGGGGACAAAGCCATCCCCCTTTCCCGAGAGCAGTGCCAGCCTTCTTGTAGGCCGCTAGAGCACACAATGCTTGAGTTGTAGGTCAGTGGACCATAGCCTTACCTGCTCTGCAGCCAGAGCTTCACCATAGTTCTCCAAGAAGTTCCCCACGATGACAGAGCCCACAATAGTGAGTCCCTTTCCAGCCTTGAGTTGGGAGGCGAAGGTGAGGAGGCGAGGGTGCTTGACGTGCAAGTCTTCATCCAGCTTCAGCAGTACAAGCAACTGCGGCCTGTGCAGAGGCGAAGGAGCAGACACTGAGATGTGGGAAACAGACGCAACTTCTTTCTTTACCCTAGGAGGTCTTCACAAAACATTTAACTTGATGAAAGGATGGAATCAGAAGAATGGTAAATGAGGGTTCTGAGTTATTTCAAATGTTCTCAGTATCGTCTGAAATGGACCAGTCTTCAAAGATAACAACAACAAACAATAAATACATCACAGTAAGTATGGCAACAAGGTTTTGGGGTAGTTAAAAACTTGATACCAGTTCCTTGAGCCACATAATTCTTTGTCTGGTGATGAAGAAAGCACACTATGTGTGTCAGCTATGTGCAAACACCACTAAGCTCTGCCAACTGCTTTACCTCCAGTTTTTAGTGTGAGGAGGCCCTTCCTCTAGGCGGAGCAAAGCGAAGCGAGCTGCACTGAGGGACAGCCCACGGATACCATCGCCCCATTCTTTCTCAGCCCTGGGAGAAAAAGAGGCATAGTCAACATATACTAAGGTGAGTACAAGTTCAAAAACACAAAAGCCAGGTTTTTCTGAATCTAACAGTAAAATATGTGCAAGGTAGAAGATCAAAACTCATGACTGTGGTTTATGTATTGTCCCTTACTAGCATGGGGAGCCTACTGTGAGACTGACCACCCTAAACCACAGATGATCCACAACACAGGCTGGTAGAGTTACTCACTTACCCCCCAACCTATCCTGTATCTATTCAAAAGAACTATGTGGAATGTCAACTCAGATTAAGAAATTACTTGTAATTGTGATTTTGAAAATAATAAAAAAGTCTAAGGAAATCTTCTGAGATAGAATATTATTTATTCTCATTTTTGGAAGTTGTTTGAGACTTTGGTTGTTTTGACATTATTCAAGATTAATTGCAATTCCCTGCTTGAACAGTTTAGCTAAGATATTTACATTTGTGTTGTACTTTTAAAAGTTTATTTATGTATATGCATCTTTGTGTAGATATACTCATGCATGTTCAGGTGTCTCCACAGACCAAAACAGGTGTTGGATCCTCTGTGGCTGGAGATGGTGGTGGCTGTGAGCTGCCTCAAGGGATTTTGTAACCAAACACTCTTAACCACTGAGCCATCATCTCTCCAGTCCTGCATGACTTTCTTTTTTCCTTTTTCTTTTTTCTTTTTTGTGATAAAGAATCTTGGTATGTAGCCCAGGACAGCTCTGAATTTTCAATCTTCCTGCCTCAGCTTCCTAAGTACTGTGACTACAGGTGTGTGCCACCATGTTTGGTCAAATCAGCCATTCTTGACCTTTTCAGAAGTGATCAAGGTAAAGTTCATACTTACCCTTGGTACTCAATGTACTTGTAGATCATGCCAGCTATTACCATAGCTACAATGGCATAATACCAGGAAGAAATGAACATCAGCGCTAGACAGATACTCATTCCCATGAAAGAGAGGGCCCTAGAAAATATAAATCAAGAAGTGTCTTTCTAAGCAGCAAGGAAAGACACCAGTTCTAGGAAATGCTTCCTGGACTATGGTGGGGACTGTAAATTTAAAAAAAATTTAAATTTCCAGTAAATTACAGACAGAACTTATGTTAAATACAATGAAAATAATTACTAAAAAATCATATGCCTTAAAAGCTGAGGCAATGGCTCTTTCTTTTTCTTTTCTTCTTTCTGGTGCTGTGCCCCAACCTTGCACATGTAGACAGGCCATCTACCACTGAGCCTTCACACCCAGCCCATGTAGGGTGAACCCTGTGCCTTCTGTAACAGAGAGTGGACAATAGTAAACATAAAGAGGGGTGGTCACAGTGCTATCAGCCCCAAGGACAACTAATATTTATTTGGAAAAGCAGGGGTTGAAAAAAGCCATGAATTTAAAATGTGATGTTAAATTTTTCTGATGTTAGTATTCCTAACATTTTTATGGGCATTTAATTCTCCATAAGTGCAGAGTAGACTGGTGAGAAACTGTGCTAGCTTTTTCTAGTAATAAGATAAACTGCTGGAGAGTGACTGTTTTGAGCAAACAGATTATATAGGCAATGTATCACTGAAGCCCTTTTGTGTACAGAATCACCTTTTTAGCCTGTGATGAATATTAAAGTGTGAGCAGAAAAATTGTTAATTTGGATATTAGGATACAACACCAAAAATGTTCGTTGCAAACTGGGCGGTGGTGGCGCACGCCTTTAATCCCAGCTTCCAAAACAATACAGAGAAACCCTGTCTCGTAAAACCAAAAAAAAAAAAAAAAAAAAAAGTTCGCTGCAAACTTTTAACTAATGTTAACTAGGAGGAGGATGGGAGGTGTTAAAACCAGTTGAAGGAGTTGGGCACTGGTGGCACACGCCTTTAGTCCTAGCACTTGGGAGGCAGAGGCAGGCGGATTTCTGTGAGTTCGAGGCCAGTCTGGTCTACAGAATGAGTTCCAGGACAGTCTCCAAAACAATACAGAGAAACCCTGTCTCAAAAACCAAACAAACAAGCAAACAAACAAACAAAAAAACAGTTGAAGGTATACATTTTTACTAGATAAATGTAACATAACTGGCCATTACTGGTAAGTGAAGCCAGAGAAGGAGTAAGGAAAGTTAGAAAACAAGAGCATAGCAACAGGCACACACGTGAACAAATAACACAGGAAAGAGATGGTATAGTGGCCAAAAACCTCAGATGGCTCCTTCAGGACAGTGCCACAGCTTTTCATTGAGAGCTTTACTGTGTACCAGCACTGCCCTCTAGATGCATTACTTCCTGGTATAAATTAGACTAATGAGATTTCATAAGGTTATATGCTTTCATGCAGATTACAGGGCTAGAAAGTATCAAGGTGAACTAAAAACCTGGGTTACCTAACTTCACAGCTTTCACTCTCAATCACTAAATGAAATTCTTGTAACTGTGAGGGCAAAAACTGGTGGGAATATAAAAGTGGAGATAAGGAGGGATGAAATCCAGTGCTCAGCTAGGAGAACAGAGAAGATACACAAAGGGAAGGTCTGAACCTTAAAAATGAGGCAGCTGGTAAATAAGCACTTTATGGTTCTGTGGATGTTATAAGTTATTATAAAGTGATACGTACAGTTATGAAAGAATAGGAAAGAAGAAATTCAAGTGATAACTGAACTTAAAGTAGTATGGAATGACTGGCCAATAAATAAATGGTATTGGGAACCCAGAATATCCTAGACTTCTAGAAAGATGAGGAACAAGATGAAGACTTACCAGTGATAGTAGCGGAATCGGGGCCTCCAGTTGGGGGTTCGAAGTAATGTTTGCAAGGCACATGCCAAGTTCACAAAGAGGTAACACATGAGAAAAAACCTTGAGGGACAAAAACAGTAAGAGGAATTATTATAAAATGATTCTGTGAAGGCTTCTTTAAATAATTAGAGGCCTCTGTGCTACTAAATCCTATTTATAGACCAATAATCATTTATCAAACAGGAAGTAAAGAAACTCAAAAACCTTTTCATGCAAAATGGTTCATCTTCCTGTGTTCTCTCTTTTGGCTGATGCCCAAAAGTCATTCTTCTTTTAAAAAAATGTCTAATGTGTATGGGTGTTTTTCTGCATCTATGTCTATGTACCATGTATGTGCTTCTAGCATATGGAGACAGAAGAGGATGCTAAATCCCCTGGGACTGGAATTGCAGAAAATTCCGAGTAGCCATGTAGGTATTGGGAGCTGAACTCAGGTCCTCTGGAAGAGCAGTCACTAAACCATCTCTCCAGGCTGGCACAACCATTCTTTACCCAGATGTTCAAGGACTCATCCATATTTCTACTTCCTTATTAATTCTCTCTCCAAATTCACCTATCAAGTTCTATGATTCTGCCTGTTTCAAACTTCCCGGATTTCTTTATTTTCCTTTTAGTACTTTCACCCTAATTCAGGATTTCACTTCTTTTTTTTCCACCTCCAACTCAATACTGTCTTCTTCTAGCCTCCCCCATCACCTTTTATTTATTTTTTATTTTTTGAGACAGAGTTTCACTTATACAACCTTAGCTGTCCTGGGATTCACTGTCTAGATATACAGAGCAGACTAACCTTAAACTCACAAAGATCTGTCTGTCTCTGCCTCCTGAGCTGAAATTGAAAGGTGTTTACCACCATACTAAGTAAGGATTTATTTACTTTTATGTGTGTGGGTTTTTTTCCCTGAAGATATGTATGTGCAACCCACTGTGTGCTTAGTGACCACAAGGCCAGAAGGGGGCACCGAGTCCCTGTAACTGTAGACTAAGAAACACCCTCATTTGTTTCAAAAATCTAGTTATCCTTCAAGATACAAGTGTCACTCTGAGAGGTATCTTCTGTTTTGTGGCGCCCAGTGCTTGCCTTTTCCATTCTCCATTCATCACACTATGTGGGGGAATTCTTGGTTATCTACCATCAGTTCCTTGAGACCATGTGCCTTGCACACCTTTATATTCCCAGCTTATTACAGAGTCAGGGAGACAGCAAGTCATCTGTAAGTCACAGCTAAATGAATAGAGGACAACAGTGAAATCAATTGCTAATGATTTATACAAACAAAAGCAGGGGCTGGAGGATGTACTTCATAGAGAGATGCATTTCATAGACAGCATCATTGCTGCATACAAAGCCCTGGGTCCAAATGCCAGCATTATAAAAAAAAATAGAAGAAACAGGAGGAAAGGAAGATGGATACAAGTAGCTTTATAAGCTACATAGGTAAGACTCCTCCCTCCATAAAAATCACAATCATTTATAAAAGGTAGCCTTACACAAAAAGTTCTCAGAGACATTCTTTTTTTCCTTTTTTTTTCCTCAAGGCAGGATTTCATTGTGCATCCCTGGCTATCCTGGAACTCACTCTGTACATCAGGCTGGCTTTGAACTCCCACAGATCTGCCTTCCTCTGCCTCATGAGTGCTGGGATTAAAGGCATGTGTCACCACTGCCCAAATGATATTTTTTAAGAATTGTGTGTGTGTGTGTGTGTGTGTGTGTGTTTGTGTGTGTTTATATGAGATCAGACGTGTTAGGCTCCCTTATAGGTGGTTGTGAACCACCTGACATGGGTGCTGGGAACTGAGCTTAGGTCCTCTAGAAGACCTAGGACATGCTATTAACCACTCACTCATCTCTCCAGTCCCATCTCAGAAATAATTTTTAAAGGTAAGTGAAGTATGAGTTTGGTCAACTCTGTCATTATCACTCTTTTATGTGACTAATGAAAATCATGTTACAATCATTAAGCAACCACACTTGAAGAGAGTAAATGGCTCTCACATGGAAAGAATTGGGGCCACGAGATCCAGGGAGGCGATGAGAATTCCCAGCTCGGCTATGGCAGCTGTTAGAAGTAAGGCCCAGGTAGGTTCCCCATTGGCTTTGCTGTGACCAAAAACCTGTACACATGAAGGAAAACATCAGGCACAGGGGCACTGACCCATGTCGACTTTCAGACATTTGAAAGATAACTTCATAGCAATCATATATAAACATATATAAAGGATTTTGAGGGCCTTCTACTAAAACTCTACACGTCTCTACATTCATGTCCCAATTCTTAAGCTGGAAAAGAAAACATTTTTCATAAAACCTGGGAAAGAGAAGAGGGCACAACAAAGCGTCACTCACCCTAAGAAATGGTATGATGTTATCCTTGGCAATAGCCTGTAGCAGCCTAGGTGCACCTGTGAGGCTCTGAAGTCCAGCCCCACACGTTGAAAAGAAGGAGCCAATAACAATCACCCATGGGGATGGCCAAGATAAGGTGCCTACAACCAAATTTCCTTTCACAGCATCCCCAAATCTGGAAAAGAAACAGTGAAAAATTAGGGTGACAATCACTAGTGAATTTTTCTGGCTTATAATTTTTACAGGCGCAAACTGAGGTAAACATGAATATTAAAAAATGTAAAGGTACATAGCTTTTCATCAAAAGGTACTAACAGCAGGCATTATGGCACATAATGCCTATAACCTCAGGATGGGAGGATTATGAATTTGGACTAGACAAGTATGCATTTTGAGTTCAAGACCAGCTCAGGATGCACACCAAGTCCCTGTCTAAAAAGAAATTACTGGGCTGGGGGTATAGCTTAGCATATTTCTGAGGCTCTGGGTTCAACCTCCGCAGCACTGTGTAGGGAAAATTAATATCTGTATTAAGAAAAAAAACGCCAGTACAATGCAGTTAGAAAACAAGCAAAGCTTCACTTACAGATTTCTCTTTCTACCTGGAAATGAGTCTGCTTTGGGTGGAAATTGGAAAAGTTCAGAAAAACAGAGAGAGCAGGGAGGAGGTTCACAATAGTTAAAAAAGTTCATTATTTTTTACTTTGTCCATATGCATGTTTGTGTACCATGTATAATGCTGATGCCTGCAGAGGCGGAGAAGAGGATGTTCAAACTCCTGGAACTGGAATTACAGGCAGGTGTGAGCAGCCATGTAGGTGCTAGGAACTGAATGTGAGTCCTCTGCAAAGGCACCCTGTGCTCTTAACCACTAAGCCACATCTCCAGTCTCAAGAGTCCATAATCTTAACTTGTTAGCATTATGCATACTTGGTATGTTTCCATCTATTTATAACATTTTTACATTATCCAGTATTCTACTATTCATATTCTATCATATGAACTACTGTAATTAATATCTTTATGAACATATACAGAGAGAAAGACACATAAAATATTTTTCCTTGAGGCAGATTCCTAGGAGCGAGTAACTGCAAAATTTAATATATTAAAACATTTTAGGATCCCTGGTGTGTTTTAGTTATATAAAACTAATACAGAGTCTGGGGGGGATGTCTCAGTAAGAGTTCTCGCTATGCAATGATGAAGACCTGAGTTCCAATTCTCCAAACCCATATAAAAGCTGGGGATAGATGTGTGTGCATCTTTAACTCCAGAGTTCTGTGGCGCACAGACAGGATGATCGCCACAGTTTTCTGGCTGCCACTCTAGCTCCAGGTTAAGTGAGGGATCTCTCAAGGAAATAAGGTAGAGAATGATAGGGCAGAACACCCAACAATCTCTTTAGTCCTTTGAGTGCGTGCTCGTGCACGCGCACACGTGCACACACACACAGACATACACACGCATGCGCGTGTGCGCGCGCGCGCACGCACACACACACACACACACACACACACACACACACACACCTTTCCCCCCAGAAAGAAAATAAATAGGTAAAACAGCATACTATTAACACTCGTAAGAGTAGGTGCTTAAGTTAAATTAAGACTAGTGTTTGGGAATAGGAATAAGAAATTTATGTATGTTGCTAATATTCTGAGATACATACGTTTTGTATTTGATTTCTGAGAATTGCAAAATTTTTGTGTGCTTCATTAACTTTCATAGCTTCATGGCTTACAACTACATTAATACATAACTTATACATTCTAGTTCCAATGGTTATTTGGATTCTTTATTTGAACCATTTAAGAACATTACAACTTTGATTCTCAATGCCTATGTAGAAACATTTCTGCTGGATATAGCCAGAAGTGAAACTGCTAAGACACAGGTCTGGGCATGAGCAATGTTAGGAGATAGTGACCAGTAATTTTTCACACTAGAACTGAGTAAGCTCTATATATGTATAAATTCACCACTGTTCCCTTCCAATAAAAACAGTACAGCTGATACACTACACCTTATACATACACACTCACACATACACTTTGGTACCTACTTTCCTCAACAATATTTATAATATAATGTGTCTTTCTCTCTGTATATGTTCATAAAGATATTAATTACAGTATTTCATATGATAGAATATGAATAGTAGAATACTGGATAATGTAAATTCCTGATATACAGGAATCCTAGAGCTCAATCAGGGGAATGTAATATGAAAATAAGTAGCTGCAATACATTGGGGTAAGTGCAACACCACAGTATGTTCACATCTAGCGGGTAGACAAAAGGAGGAGGGGTTCTATTTGGGGGTGAAGATGAAAAACTATAGGAGAGAAGACCCTTTGCTTAGTCTCAAGGAGGATGAAGTGAGTCTTCCCAGTAGGAATAACCAACAGAAGCAAAGGAAAAAAACACAGACAAAGGTGTACAGATAGAGCATCGTGGTAGCAGTATGGAAAAAGACGGTAAAACTCAAAGGGAAATTATTATGTGATTATAAAGAGAAAAAAAGTTTAAGCCCAGTATGGAGTGATGGGATCACTGAACAGTGGAAAGCAGATAGAATTCACAGGTCTTAGAAAATACTTGGATGATGGGGAAAAATGAGGAAAACACGCAGGCTAGAACAATACCTAGCTTCCTTTGTGATAGGGAGTGAAGAGAGGGTACTAACCAAGATGTGAAGAATGTAAGAATTAGCAAGTTTCAGGGAGAGATCTGTCCACAAACATCTCATAAAACATATGTGAGAAAAGAGGCAGTAAATGCTAAGTAGCTTCCTGAAGGAAACCAGTGACCCATTAAGAATGGCAAGTATGAGCGGACAGCTGCCGCTCCCTACAGCGCACGCTGCAGACACTACGCAGTTCACTGGTCCTGCTCCGCTTTCCTACAGCATTCTCGCAGCTCTTGGTGTCCAGGAAAATACTTAGTGTTTAGACAGCTTCACAGCTTTTGGGGGGAAGAGCTATATTAGTTATGTTTTACAGAATAGCACTGGTCCATATTAATCAATAATCATTTACTGCTTGAGGCTGAAGGACTGCTTAACCCCATAACTTTGATGTTAGCTAGAGGAACATTGCAAAAGAAAAAAATCATAAAATATTTTATCCTATCATAGGCTAAATTATGCATATATTTTTAATCTCTGTTTTTAAAACTTTTTTTGTATTGCTGGGATCAAACCCACAAGCTCAATTCCTCTGTATGTCTGATACATAGACACACACACTCTCTCTCCTTTATCTTTCATTCATATATAGATACATGAGAGACAGATGTCTACGTGTGTGTATATATATACATGTACACACACATACACACACATTTTAGCTCTTTTACACTTTCTATTTTATTAGTTATTGAGATTATATCTGTGTTGACACTATGAGTGACCAGATGTCATCAAGACAGACACATGGTTGTTAAACTTACTTGTCTCGGAGAACAACTCCTTCAATACATGCACCAAAAAGGACAACATTGCTTAAATCTGTTATGCTGAGAGTCAAGGAAACTGTTATCCTTTACCTTTACATAGTTACTACACTCAGGGTGATTCTTTTATCATATGGTGAGTTGCTAAATTCACTAATCCTACAAAATGCTTCTTTAATGATGCTTATGAAGCAGGGCAACTATCTGGCAAATGAGGCAGTGGTAAGAAATTTCATTATTATTATTAGATAAAAATACCTATCCTCTTAGTTCGACTGCATGATCCCATCACCACGAGTTAAAGGATACACACGAAGGATGTGGTCAGGATGGCAAGGACAGTTCCAATGGGAATGGACTTCTGAGCATCTTTCAGATCTCCAGATCTGTTTGACCCAGCCATGATACCTGGTAAGGGGAAACACCAAGTTAACTTCTTGGCTTTCTGGGCACTTTAGGGTCATACTGATACTGAAGACGGAGGCAAACTTATATCCTGAGAAAACATGCTCAATGTGGCTGATGGCTTCTAAAACCTAACAGCCTACCCCCTTACCTGTGACAGAAGGAAAGAAGATCCCCACCAGAAGAGTGAAGGAGGTGGTGATGTCGGCAAGGACATATTCATGGTTTAAGTTGCCCAAGACATCAGATGACCTGGCTGATGGCTTTTCAATGATCTCACCCTTCAGTAAATAATTACTCCAAAGGTTTTCTGCAAAGGGTGAGGAATGGGGTGGGTAGGAAGGAAGAGGATATAAGGATATAAGCGACATGGAAGTAATTTAAGTAAATGATTTCTTACCCAAACAACATTCAATCAGAGACTCCCACTGTTATTATTACAACTACTATACTGGACACTTATCCAAGAGTCTTTTACATACTAGGCAAGTACTGTACTTACCTCCACCTATGCCCCCTAGGATAGTTTTTAAAGCCATTGTTTCTTCAACATGAACACATATAAGTATTGCAGAATATAACCAATTCTATTTCTCATTTGTTCTAATTTTATAAAATGCTTTGGCATAATAAATGCAGTTAACTTTTCTAATATAAATTAGTAAAAGCAGACTAAATTAAATGCCCCATAAAGCCTATTTTTAAATTAGTTATCAAATGTAAAATCTATTTTTAAAACAATTAGTATCAGCCGGGCGCTGGTGGCACACACCTTTAATCCCAGTACTCGGGAGGAAGAGGCAGGCGGATCTCTGTGAGTTCGAGACCAACCTAGTCTACAAGAGCTAGTTCCAGGACAGCCTCCAAAGCCACAGAGAAACCCCGTCTCGAAAAACCAAAAAAAAAACAAAAACCAAAAACCAAAACAAAAACAAAAAAAACAATTAGTATCAAAGCAGTTTTTAACCTTAGTATGAACTTGCTTAATGTGCAAAGAAATTTGTGAACAAAACATTTAAGATGGACTTCATTTAAGGAAAGAATTTAAGAAATTTAGCTGAGCTAGGAAAAATGTGTGACTGGTGACATTAAAACAGTTCTATTTTAGCTATTACTGCAGGAAGATCACTGGCAATTTTTCAAGAATACATTGAGTCAGAAACAAAGGCAAATCCCCATAGTCCCAGTTTGTCAGGAGCCCAAAGCAAGAGGAGTTGCTATAAGCCTAGAAGTCGGACGTTAGCATGAAGAATATTGCAAAAGAAAAATATTTTATCCTATCCTAGGCTAAAAAGTCACCTATCTGCCTCTGTTCTCAAAAGAAGGAGAGTTTAAGAGATGTACTCTGCAAGGGAGCTCTAGATACAGAAAATTTCACTGAGAGAAAAGCAGAAATATGCTGGGTATGGTGGTACGTGCCTACAATCCTGCCAGTACTCAGAAGGCTAAGGTAGGGGGAGTGAGCTTAAGGTCATCCATATACACAGGGATCCACGCCATGTCCACCAGAAGAGCCTTAGACAGCCACCTGAGTGCAGCTCAGTGGTAGAGCCATGTGGTGCTTGTCAGACAACCCCTGGTTCAACCTTCATCATTGCAATCACAATCATCACTCTAGGTCATTGGCCCTAGTGGGGAAGCCATGGCCTGTGTTTGCTAAATGGACATGCTATGGTTGTCAAATTGCCTTCTAAACAACTATGTGTATGCTTATGTACTAGTGAGGCTATCAGCTTTGGTCAGGGAAATTTCTTTTTTTACAGTAGGCAATGTTAACTGTGGAGGTTCATTAGCGACTGGTCAAAGTGATAAGAATAACTTCCTGTTTAATGTTTAGTCATAAAAATAATCTGTCACCCCATTCAACGCTCAGGGAACATTGTAGGAAAGGGGGCTGAAATAATGGAAAATCCAGAGGAAGGGAGGGAATGATACAGAATGACTTGTGATATGGCCTTTGCATGCTTGAACTCAGCAGCTCTGAATACCTGCACGAGATCTTCATAAAGTTGGCTCTATCTATACCCTGTCCTATGAGCAACAGACACTCACAAGACCCCACCCATCCCTGAGGCTTTATAACCAGCTAATGGTTGATGTGGGAGGGAGAAACATTTTTCTTTAGTAAGGGAACCATACTGTTATAAACGACACATCACCCATGAACCTATAAGCAATCCTAAACAAATTAGAGTAGGGGGTATGTGTTGATATGATCAAAATATATAATATGCATGTATAAAGTATAATAAACTTATTATACATATTATAGTAAAATGCAAAAAGAGACAAAAAAACTAAGATGGAAAAGTTTATTTCCCCCAATTTCCTTAAAGAAAAAAAAACATGAAACAAAATGAGTCTTATTAAGGTAACTTACCAGTAATGATACCACTAGCCAGCCCAGGAATGCCTTGGATTGAGGTGACATTATTGTGAACAAAGTACTCATCACAGGTGGCATTAAAAAATTGACTTGAGTTACAGAAGAATCCCCATAGCTTTGATGGCACTGTCATGTTGTTAATGTCCTTGGTCTTAGAGCAAACATCAAGGTGTCTTGATGAAAGAGTGCGGTTGCCCAGCATGCAGACCCTAAAGCAAAGCAAACAGAGAAGATCAGGAAGGAAAAAAAGAACAGAGAAAACTAAGCTTTAAAGAGGTTGGTAAAAGGGAAAAAAACGATCCCATTCCTCAGAGATTCTACTGCCATGTGTAGGAAAGGACGAGCAATACTGACCAGCACTGTGAATCATGGTGACTTGCATTTCCTGCCAGTATAATCTGCACAGATCTCACAATATTTTTACATTTATCTTATGTGGCTGGAGGCACTGGGGTTTACAGAAACTCAATATTCTGCCCAAGATCAAGGTCATACAAATGATACATATAGGTGATATTCAAACACAAGGACCGTACAAAGAAGCTATACTGAATTATCTTCTGAACATATTTGGCTATTCATCCATTTTCAGGCCAGAAAGAATCCTGGGAGGGCTAAGGTGACGGCTCAATGGTGTTCAAGTGCTTGCCACAAAAGCATGAAGTCCTGAATTTAGATCTCCAGCACACAGGCAAAAGCCTGGCATGCTCATACATGCCTGTAATCTCACAGCACTGGGGATGAGACAGAAAGGCTGGGTTTGCTGGCCCGCCACTCTAGCTCAACAATGCAAACAATGGTGAGTTTAGCTAGGGAGTCTCAGGGAATAAGACAGAGAGCAACAGAGGAGGACACCTGATTCCTTCTGGTTTCCACAGGTACACATATGAACACCCCGCCGCCACCGCCACCGCCACCACCGAATCCCAGAGTACTTCTCTTATTTTTAAGAAATATGCTCCAATGCTAATATTTTCATATGTTTGCTTTCTTTTGAGGCAGAGGATGGGGGCAGAGATGGAAAAAAAGAAGGTCGGAAATGAAAGGAGAGGGGGTTTTACATTCCTAAGAGCCTTTGGAACTGCTTGTCCTGCTGAGCCTTCTGGCTACTGTTGTAGGACAGCCTGACTAGCACATCCATATGGCCCAAGAGAAAACCGTTTTTGACCTTAAGCCTAGAGGAAATTTAAGGATGATACAAACATTAACTGCAGATTTATTTTTTCTTCTACCCAGAGACATAAACAAGGATGGAGTAATAGACCCATAGTAAAATACTTCTGAGGGCTAACAAAACAAGGCTTAGAATCTGCAGTGTTCATACATGCATAATGAACCGCATATCACTTGCTTCAACAACTCTTAACAATCCCTAGTTTTGTTTCATAGTTCCTCTACAGTTTTTTAAAATATATTATGCTGGAATTTTAAAAACAAAATAACATGCACTGTGATTGTTTTTCCAACCAAACAAAAGTGGAGAAGCCCCAAAGGGGACCCTGAAACAAAGTGGAAATTCCGGAGTTGAGATACAACTAAAATGTGGAACCTAAAACTTAACATCACATAGAAACAACACCAAATAGCAGTCAGGAAATCTCAAAGTTCATGCCCTTGCCCTACCATTAGTTGACTTTGGGAAAAGTCATTCATCTTCTCTGAATTTGCCTTGTTTTTCATTGTGAAATTTTTTTTCTGTAACCTGCTTAAATCACCACAGAGCCAATAAATTTGATTTCCAGCTGATCTATGTGACTTCAAAAGCAACTTCTGTAACAAGATTAGAAATAACTGAGCGCCAACCAGCCTTGGTGTCACAAATAGGTCAGTCTGTGAGTGAAGGCTCTGCACAAATCCATCAATTCACTACTGCACTGTTTATGGCATATATGTCCTCTACACAGGAATACATACATGTGATATGACACTCATTTCCTTTATTTTATACCTAGTAACTCTTAGCAGTTATGGCACTAAGCAAGAATAAAGAAAGTAATTAAACAAATTAAGTAATTCTTTTTTAAAAAAAGACTTGTTTAATGTGTGGGTGTTTGTCTACATGTATGTGCACTAGTTGTGTGCCTGAAGCATGTAGAGGCCTGAAGAGTGCATCAGATCCCCTGGAACTAGAGTTGTGAGCCATAATGTATGTGCTAGGAACTGAACCCAGGTCCTCTGAAAGATCATCCAGTGCTCGCAGCTACAGAGTCCTCTCTCCAGACTGCTACTCTAGAATTCTTTTGAATTGGTTTTATTTTAAAAAAGCCATTGGACATTTAAATGCCTTATAAAGGTAGCTGGTAATGACTATGACTGCTAAGTCCTTCACAGATGGCTCACATAAACACAAGCACTATGAGGGTGAAGGGGGGAACCTAAATAGCTATACCTTAATGATAGCTACAGCTGCTAGGACTACACTTCAGAAGTGAGAAAGGGGTCAACATGATGGTTTGTCAGGAAGCATTCTGCTGGGAAGTTGTGCCAATAGGGAAATCATTCCATGAAATTTTGATTGAAACATCACCAGATACTGTCACTGACTACCCAACTTCTTAGGTGAAAACAGCCACGTACGGGAAGTGTGGTGGAGCAAAGGAAGACTTGATGGCACCAGCGTAGATAGCCAAAATGGACACAATTACACAGGCCAGGAAAAGTGAGGCAAACTTATTCACATAGCGTACGCCGATGAATACCACTAAGACCATGAGGACCAAGAAGGCTGTGCCATAGACACGCATGTTATTTAGCATGGCTGCTGATTCCTTGAGTGCATCATCACTGTGAAAGATGGCAGCACGAGGGACAATATACACCTGTTAGAAAAAGAAAGAAGCAGAGAAGAAATGATGTCATTAAAAACAATCAAGTAGAGAAGCTTTAGCAGTTTGTTACTTTTATGAAGGAAAGGAAAGCTGAAACAAATAATGATTAAAACAATTTTTTTTATCTTTTCTTCTATTAACTTGTTTTTAGAAAGGGTCTCATTATGTAGCCCTAGTTGGCCTAGAACTCAAAGAGATCCACTTGCTTCTGTCTCCCAAGTACTGAAATTAAAGTTATGTGCCTCACTGGGTACAATTAACCAAATTTTATTTATCTCTAGAATGTCTATACAAATGTTATTTTGTGGATTATTTTTGTTTTCTAATTGCTACTATGAATATCTATATTCCCAAATGGGAAAAAGAAAAAATTTATTTAAAAGGCTATAGTAAAGATTGATAATATGAGTAGAGAATGAACACTCTTTCATTGGGATAAACTTATCAAAAAGAAAGGCTGGGATACAGTTCAGTCAGTGACATGCTTTGCTGCATAAGAATTAGGACTTGAGTTGAATCCCAGGACTTATGTGAAAAGCCAGGCACAGCGGCACATGCTTGTGATCTTAGCATTGGGAAGGTGAAGACATGAGGACACCCAGGGCTGACTGGTCAGCCAGCTGGAGGGGTGAGCCCCCAGGGAAAGACCCCATCTCATAAAACAACAGGTGAGGAACCAGCTTGGTCTCTGGCCTCTACACACATGTATTCAACACACCGAAACACATACATATATGGTATATACAAATGAGCTTTATTTTACTTTCCCACATTGGCATAAGTCTTTTCTACCTCAATATGAACTCCCTGGTTGAGGTGATAGAGTTGGGAACAATCAGATAGAGGGGAAAGTACAGGCAGGTGAAGGACACCTCAACCTTCTTGCCTCAGAGTCATGGTAAGAGCACAGTCATAGCAGTCACCACCTGACTGGCTGCCACACCTGAACTCAGAAACTAATATCTAAGAAAACAAACCCGGGGCTGGAGAGATGGCTCAGAGGTTAAGAGCACTGATTGCTCTTCCAGGGGTCCTGAGTTCAATTCCCAGCAACCACATGGTGGCTCACAACCATCTACAATTCAATCTGGTGTCCTCTTCTGGCATGTAGGCAGAACACTGTATATGTAATAAATAAATAAATCTTTAAAAAAAAAAGAAAACAAACCCACAGAGCTTCTAGATTATAGATCATAATTAACTACTTACCAGAAAAATTTCAATGGCACCAAGAATATACATGGCTGCTGCAAATGTGGTGCCAAGATAGAAACAGAGGCCAACAGCCCCACCAAACTCTGGGCCCAAGGCCCGGGAAATCATAAAGTATGAGCCCCCAGCTGCAAAACAAAATAGATGGGAACAGAACAAAATGAGGGTATCACTAAGACAATTGTAAACAATTCATAAGTAGTAATTCAAAAATATGCACAAAAGATATTTGGGAAACTCTGAATGTAACAAAGCAGATATGCTAATAGGAATATGATGTACCCAATATTCTACATTTTGTCACTATTAGGAAAAACTAGAATATTTCCTATAGCAATATGATAGTCATATATATATTGGTTTTTCGAGACAGGGTTTCTCTATGGCTTTGGAGGCTGTCCTGGAACTAGCTCTTGTAGACTAGGTTGGTCTCGAACTCACAGAGATCCGCCTGCCTCTTCTTCCCGAGTACTGGGATTAAAGGCGTGCACCACCACCGCCCAGCAAAATATATTTTATAAGCTAAGAATGTGTCTGAAATTAAAGCGTTGTAGTTAAAAATAATAAGATTTCAAAGACAGCATCCTGAAGCCAAACAGTATTTGTCTCTATGGCTTCTAGAAGGTGAACTGTTATAGTACACTATGAACAACAGAATAAAACACATTGAGTTTCTTCAGAGTCTATAGCTTCTGCTTTACAGCATAAATACAGTGATTAATCACTGATTATCCCTGAAATTCACACTTGGGTTACTGACCTGGCACCACCCCATTAGTGGCAATGGCACTCATGGAGATGGCTGTCAATATTGTCTGTAGAGAGAGAGAAGAATTTTATTACTAGGTAGAGCTGACATTTCTGTCCTTTTCCATAATGTGAACTTTGGAGCATTTACAAACATTTAACTCTACCTACTTTCATGAAGAGTTGTCATGTAACATTCAAAAGGAATAGCTAGGGAGATAACACTGGAAAGAAGGCTAGATTCAAACAATACAGGTTAAGAGAACCACCAGAACAAATTTAAAACTTAGTAACACAGTACATAAAGGTCTTCAAGGAGGCACAGTGATGAGCTACTAGGCTGCTGTGGTACAAGTGTGATAGTGGGGTGAGGAGGAAAGGCTGCAGAGGAAGTATCTCAGAGATCGGCTGTAGTGAATGGCAACCAAGGAGTCAAATACGTCCTTGAAGCTTCAAGCTTGGGTGGAGAAGGCCGTGCCATTAAGTTATTAATGACATAGGCTATGTCTGCTTAACCTGCATGGTTAGTACTCAGCTGAGCATGATGCATACGGGGGATACAATGGTTACCAACACAAGGGACAGTAGATGGATGGACAGGGATGAGACACATAAAAATGAGCAGTTTAAGTTAAAGGAGAATGAGAACGTGCTGAGTAAGCGAGAGAAGAGTGGAAAACAACTGAGGAATCTCTGGGAACGAAATAAGAAAGAAGACTTCAAAATGAATCAAATCAAATCCAGATTCACCTCCCCGGTCCTGTCAATTTTATTTTTCAGTACATTTGAGAATAGTGTATACATTTTCTAACGTTCTTTGTTACATCAGTGTTTTCAAGACCAAATCATCCAGATTTTGAATTATTTGAAGATCTGCTATTTTTTTTTATTTCCAAAAATCTAGGACACCATATACTATGTAGGAAATAATGGATAATGGGTGCTGAATGAAAATCCTCTCTCCTGTTGGGATCATGAGTCTCCACATATTTTCTGGTTTTGCTCCCCAGGAGTACATACTCTAAGCAGGGAAATGCCATAGGCGAGCTCTAGGAGCCAATGCAGGAGGACTTACACAGCAGCAGCAGATAAGGACAATTGCAAAGGCCTGAAGGACTCCAGCTGTGCCCACTACCCAGGTAAGACGCAGAAAGAGGATCACTCCAAAAATATTTTGTAGACAAGGTAGGTAGACACCCATGAAAGTACCCATTTGGGGGCTCTGAAAATAAAAATGTAAGACAGAGGGAAAATTATAATGTTAGCCATAAATGCTTAGATTTACCACATTAATCTCAAAGCACAGACAGGAAGTTTAAGCAGTATCTTCAAAGGTCTCTTCCATTACTATACTACCATTATCCTTATACATCTGTAATTTAGATAAGTTCCCACATTTTTATTATTCCTACGCAATGGACCACTCAACAATCTCAAAATGTCTATGCTTCAAGGTTATTAAAATTTTAATTCGCATTTAAAAATAGAATAACTTGTGGAAATTCTTGAGAATTAGGTAAATTCTTCACAATAGTTGGTAAATGAAGCAGATAGGGAAAGTAAAAATTTGAGGGCCGTTTGGCCCCTTTGCAAAAGGCTGAATTAACTGTGTGACTGGTATAATTTTATTGTAAGAAGAACAGTAGCAGAAAAAAGAAAACGTCTAACAGCTACTGGATATCATTATCATGGTTGATGTCTATGATTCTAGCACCTGGGAGGCTAAGGCAGGAGGACTCTAAGTCCAAGATTAGCCTGTGTTATATTTGAGACACCATCTCAAAACCAAAACCAAACAAAATCCAAAACAAATAACCCTTTCTACCAGGCAGATGGCATTAGAGGCTGGGTTGAGATACTCCTCGTAGCTAACTTCCACACATGGACAATTTCTGTTCATACCCACCATGTGAGAGGGCTTTCTCTGTCTGACCGACCACAGTATCTAACCCTTCCAGCAGTCTCATTCCTTTTAACTCTGTGTAAGTTTTTAGTCAAGTATTACTTGACACTGAAGATGCTATATGCTTTAACAGAGTTTCAATAGCTTAGGGACTAGCTTCCCACATGAAGCTAGGATACTGTATATTCTGTCTGGGCCATGCTGCCAATGCTCAGAATGGTGCTGAGTATATCAAGCATTTATTACAATTTCTTAACACAGACTGATTCCTGAGGTATGTCTTCATCTCTTATATGTGGGGCTGCTTTTCTTTGTCCTGTATTCTGAGACCTCACCTTGGTAGGCTTCTTTTTTCCCTCAGTGATGTTCTCTGCCTCTTCATGTTCCTTTGCTCCCTGTGTCAGGTTAGTATAGTTGGCCATGCGGTTGAGGAGAGACGACACCTTTGGTCTGGTGTCCATTTCTTCCTATAAAGTCAGAAATAATTTATGAAGGATACTGAAATTCAGCAATGAAATAAACTTTCTACCAGGAAACAGCAAAATAAATGATAAAATAGTTTACAGGCAAATACTTTAAGAAAATGTTTCAGGCCGGGCAATGGTGGTGCATGCCTTTAGTCCCAGCATTTGGGAAGGCAGAGGCAGGTGGATCTCTGTGAGTTCAAGACCAACCTGGTCTACAAAAGCTAGTTCCAGGACAGCCTCCAAAAGAAAGGAAAATGTTTCTTCAGTGAGACAATTTGTTCCTGACGCTTGAAAGGCTATACATAGCTGAGAGTACAGCTTGGTGAGAGTGTACAAGGTCCTGGGACTAATCCCCAGGACTGGTTGGTAAAAAAAGACAACACTTAATTATGGCAGCAAGTTAAAGTAGGCACAAAGTACTGGATTTCATTAAGGTTTTTTTTTTCATATTAGTGGTAATTATACTTTTGTTTTAATCTGTTCCCATGTGCTGGGATTAGAGGTGTGTGCCACCATTGCCCAGCAGAATTCCTTAATACAGAGATCTCTGGAGACAATAGAAGGCCTACCCTTAAGCTTACCCACAAATAAACAAAACACACAGTATTTCTTTCTTGGTGTGTTATGCTACTCTATAAGTGGGCTACTCTTTTTTTCATACAAATGGTAATTATACTTTTGTTTTAATCTGTTCCCCTCCTCCTCTGCCTTCTCACATTTCTTCTGACCCTCTTACAGGCCAGGTCCTGATAGTCGATGGGGATTGACTGCCCTTCTGTATGCTGTGAATGTATATTTCTTTTATTGGTTGATGAATAAAGCTGTTTTGGCCAATGGACAGGCAGGATGTAGCCAGGCAGGATGTAGCCAGGCAGGATGTAGCCAGGCAGGAAGTATAGGCGGGACTATCAGACTAGGAGAATTCTAGAAAAGGAATGCAGAGGATGAGTCACCAGAAAGACAACATGTAGCTACCAGGAAGGTAGGATGTCTGGACATTCTCCAGTAAGTCAAGGCCATGAAGAGATACACAGATTAATAGAAATGAGTTAATAGTTAAGAGACAGCCAGCCAATAAGAAGCCTGAGCCATCAGCCAAACAGTTTATAATTAATATAAGCCTCTGTGTGTTTATTTGGGACTACACAGCTACCAGACTGCGTGGGACAGAAACTTCTGTCCTCAAGGTCCCTCCTGCCCTCATCTGACTCCTCTGCTTTCACATTGCAGGCATTCTATTACCTTCTGTCTCCACTTCTCTGCCTCCTTATCATCTCTCCTCCATTCTCGGTTTGCCTTCTCCTCTCTCTCTTACACACACACACACACACACACACACACACACACACACACACACACACACTTACTTAAATACACACATGGGGAGAAAACATGCACTATTCAGTATTTGTCTTAATTTGTTTAACAATGATTTTCATTTCCAAACATTTTCCTGCAAATGGGATGATTTTGTATTTTTCCTGTGAGTGATGACAATTTCATTATGTGGGCTGGAAAGATGGCTCAGTAGGTAGGAGCACTTGCTACTTTCCCAGAGGCCCAAGTTCAGTTCCCTGTACCCACATGGGGAGGCTCACAACCATCAGTAACTCCATCTCCAGGGAGTTATAAGGGAAATATGAGCTGCCTTTTACTCCCCCACTGACACATACATAATTAAAATATTACCTCAAAGAGTGCCAGATTTTTATCAAAATACTCATCTCCTTCTTCATAGTTGGAATTGTTGAGATAAGCATTTCGAGCTTTTTTATGTCCATCATCTGAAAAAAAAAAAAAAGGCAAACATTGGCTTTTCATTAGTACTGAGACACCAGCACCAATATCTATGTTGCCACTGTGGTAACAGAGACCAGTTCAGATTCAAGTTTAGCCAGAGTGGTAGACCTCAGTTAGCACTGTTTGAAGAATATGGTATTTTTCTAGCAGGAGCAAAAGCAAATCAGGAAACCAAAGAAATCAACATGAAGAATCGAAGAATCACCTCCCACCTTTTTTTGTTTTTGTTTTGTTTTTTTAGAGTTTCTTTGTGTAACAGCCCTGGCTGTCCTGGAACTCACTCTGTAGATCAGGCTGGCCTTGAACTCAGAGATTCGCCTGCTTCTACCTTCCAGGTGCTGGGATTAGAGGCGTGTGCCACCACTGCCCAGCAGAATTCCTTTTCTTAATACAGAGATCTCTGGAAACAATAGAGGGCCTACCCTTAAACTTAGCGACAAATAAACAAAACACACAGTATTTCTTTCTTACTATATTATGCTACTCTAGATGTGGGCTACTTTACAAATTGTTGCTGCTGATAATGGAAGAAAAAGCTATTTCCAGGGCCTTCTAACATTAAAAATTTATTGTGTGTTTGCATGATATGTGTGTGTGTATACTGTCACAGTGTACATGTGAAGGTCAGAGGACACTTGCAGATTTGGTTCTCTCCTTCTACCTTTGTAAGAGTTCAGGGGATGAAACGCAGGTTGCCAGGTTTGCATGCTAAGTGCCTGCTGAGCTATCTTGCTGACCTCATTTCTAATACTATCAATTACATCAGGTGATTTAATCTATGATGATTACTTTTTAAAATTATTTGAGAATTGCATACAATGTATTTTGAATATATTCAGGACCCAATCCCCTTACTACTGCCTCCACCCTCTCATTGCTTCCAACCCGACTTCGAGACTGCTTCTTATTTTTTTATTATTTGACCTTCTTTCCCCATCAGGTCTCGCTTGTGTTCAGCTAGTTTTGGGATTGAGGTCTACTCTGGTATGTGATCACATTATCAAGGTTATCGTCATTAAATGATGACCTGAATCTCCCTTTCCCAGCAATCACTAAATGCTAATAGCTCCTCAGCTGGTGCTGGGATTATGCATCCTCCTTCATTTCCACAATGCAGGAATTCTGGCTGGCTGGAGCTTGCCTAAGTCTTGTGCACGCTGTCACAATCACTGTGAGTTCATATATGCGTCTGTCTGGAAAACACTGTTTCATTTAAATTATCTACTACCTGTGGCTCTTACAGTCTTTCTGCCCCATCCTCCACAAAGATCCCTAAGAATGAGATAATATAAATGTCTAAATTGGGGCTAAGCACTTTACAGTCTTTTGCTTTCTACACACCGAGCAATTGGAGGTCAGCAGTAGTTTTTCAAAGAGTCTCATTATGAGGTCCAGACTGATCTCAAACTCTTGAATATTCTTCCTCAGCCCCAAAGTACTATATTATAGGTTCAATATATTTTTTATGAACCCTTCCATATTATTTTTATGTTGAAAGAGGTATTTAACTGGAATCTGATGAACTACCTGTAAACAAAGAAAAAACAGTGCCTGAGACAGCAAAGTTCTATGACTACTTCCTAATCTTTAGCTTTTTAAATTGTGCCCATGTCACATGATTACATAGTCTGGCAGAAGAAAAGAAAAAAATGTATAGATACTATTTAAAATTAAGGTTTCCATTACTGAAAAAAGATGCTAATGTAAAAATGAAAGCACATTAAAGTAATATGCATTACTTTAAATATGGAAGACGAGCCTGGCAAAAAGACAGCAAACTATTGAAATCAGCTGGTCATCTGGAAGGACATGAGATTGACTTGAAGGAGTTCCTGATGGTCATGACAGAAAAGTACAGAAAAGTGATTGACACATGAGATATTCAAAACAATACTTATAAAAAGTCAATGTTTTAAGGAAATAATATACAACTCTGAAAAACAGAAGAATCAACTATGTTGTCTGTTTTGTGCTAAATATATTTAAGGATAATGATACAGCTAAAGACTCCTTTTTTTATAGACACAGTACAGCTAATTTATGATACATGGAGCAGTACACAGGAAACATATCACTTTGGAAACCCTAGTGAAAGTTACAGATCTAGGCAACTATCATGATTGGCTGTGAAAACCACTGATGACGGGCTGAGACATAACCTTCTGATGGGCAAATGAAGATGATCATGGCCCTGTAGACTAACACATCATTGAAGGCAAGTCACTGTTCATCCCATGTATTTTTAGCCAAACAATGGAAACTCAGTCTAATTAACATTCTCTGGGTCACAGACAATCACAAAGGAGGAACATAGTAAGCATACCCAAAGACATAATCACCAGAGTCAGAATGTAGTCACAAGCTAAATGAGTGAAGTTTTACAGGTTAAAGCTTAAGATGTGACTGAAATCTAAGATACGTTCTTTGTTAAAATCCTCAAAATGCACCAGGCGTTGGTGGTGCACACCTTTAATCCCAGCACTTGGGAGGCAGAGGCAGGCAGATCTCTGAGTTCAAGGCCAGCCTAGTCTTCAGAATGAGTTCCAGGACAGCCTCCAAAACAATGTAGAGAAACCCTGTCTCGAAAAAAACCAAACAAAGAATCCTCAAAATGCAAAGAGACCCCCCCTCCCGCCCCAGTTTTTCAAAACAGGGTTTCTCTGTGTAGCTTTGGAGCCTGTATTGGAATTCCCTCTATAGATAAGGCTAACCTAGATCTCACAGAGATCTACCTGCCTCTGCCTCCCAAGTGCTGGGATTAAAGGTGTCTGCCACCACTGCCTAACTATGGTGACATGTTGGGCTGGAGAGATAGCTCAGTTGTTCTTCTAGGGGACCTGGGTTCCATTCCCAGCACCCACACAGCAGCTCACAATCACTTATTGTAACATGTATTCTTTCCCACCAGCTACCTGAGTCCTACCGCTGTCTCTGCCCATAATTAACACATGAAACACTATGTTAATTATGAAGCTGTTGGCCATTTGCTATGGTTTCTTAATGGCTTGCTCTGACTTAATTATTGACCCATAATTACTAATATATATATTTTTATAAGGACTTATCTTTTCGAGGATGCCCTTCTGATGTGTCCGCTCCTCCCAGGATAACATGGTGACCCTCTACTCTAGAATACATTTCCCAGAATCCTCTTCAACTCCTAGTACCACCAATCTTGCTTCCCTGTTAGTCAACAGTGCTTTATTTATCAACCAATAGGACAACATATACACAGAAGGACTTTCCCCCATCAATTTGTAAATACAGTGCCAGGGATGCAACATCCTTTTCTGGCTCATGAGTGCCAGGCACACACATGGTGCACAGACACATATGTAGACAAAGCATTCATACACATAAATTTTTCTTAAAATTTAAAAACAGGGAAATTTATAAGTAAAATTTAAATTGCTAATTTTTGAAATTGCATTTATTATCTCCAGGCACTTATTATTTCTGCAGGAGCAGAAAGCACCTCAGAACTAGGCCACTGGCTCCACTGGGATCTGAGAGCACCAGCCTCCAGCCCCAGTGGTCTTAAAGAACACTGAGGGGCCTGAGCCTCGGCTCTAGTGTGCCCAGGGTCCTCTGAGAAACTGGGGCTTTGGCCTCAGTGGTCTTCAAGATTAGTGTGGGTGTGGGGTTTTAAATTCTGAGGTTCTAGTGGTCATTGCAGGACCTAGGAGTTTATATATGTGGTCCCATTTAGCCACACATCACAGATAGTACCCAGACTTCAGAGGCAAAAGGCTCTCAGATCCTGCCTCCTCCTCCTTACACTCCCTCCTCCTCCCAGCCATTTCCTCCTGTCTCCACCACCTCCCTAGTGCTGGGATTAAAGGCATATGATTCCAAGTGCTGAGATCCTCTTTGTGTGAGCTGTTTCTTTTAGGACTGGATCAATTTCGTGTAGTGAGTATAGCCTTGAACTAACAGGGATCCATCTACCTCTTAATCCTGAGTCCTGTTATTAAAGGTGTGTATCACCACCTTTGCATTATGGTTGCTGCGATTAAAGGTGTGTATCACCATTGCCAGGTATCTATAGCTTGAGGCAGGCTTTGCTTTCTGAATCCTCAGATAAGCTTTAATAAATCATAAATAATATATCACTACACATAGCTACAGTGGGATTATCTCAGCAACTATACTTGACAACACTCAATTTCTCAAGTCCACATAGCTAAATTTCATGCAGATAACTCTCTAGGAAGAATCCAGAAAACTCCAAAGATGGGGAAGTCAAAACTGAAAGTCAAAAATCCTCTAAGAGATGCACAAAATACAACAAGGAAACACAAAGACTATGACATAGCCACCTCCATGACCCATCCCAACCAAACACTCCCTTTATGAGGGAGTCTAAAGCCACAAACATAGATGAATGTTCAAGAATTCAAGTGCTGTGGAATAATCCTCTTGTACACTACAGAGATTTGTCACTCGAATTGGTTTAATAAAATGATAACTGGTCGGGCATTGGTGGTGCACCCAGCACTCAGGAGGCAGAGGCAGGCGGATCTCTGTGAGTTCAAGGCCAGCCTGGTCTACAGAGTGAGTTCCAGGACAGTCTCCAAGGCAGTACAGAGAAACCCTGTCTTGAAAAAAAAAAAAAAGATGACTGGCCAGTAGCCAGGTTGGAAGTATAGACAAGATAACCAAACTAAGGATGCTGGGTTAAAAAGAGCAGAGTCAGGGAGATGCCAACAGACACAGAGGAAACAGAGGACGTGTAGAAATGGGGTAACAAGCCATGAGCCACATGGCTAACTATAGGTAAGAAATATGGGTCAATTGAAAGTAAAAGAGTTAACTAGTAACAAGCCTGAGCTATCAACCGAGCATTTATGATTAATAATATTACGTTTCTGAGCGGTTATTTGGAAGTGGCTGCCAGCACAAGAAAAATCCACCTACATTCAGAGTTTACTTTTTAAAAGAATCAGTGGTCATATAGAAGAGTCAAACAAACATGGACAAATTA